GTGTCCCCAAGGGCCATAGGGTCGATCCCCCCTGCCATGTCCCCAAGGGCTGTAGGGTCGATCCCATATCTCAGTGTCCCCAAGGGCTGTAGGATTGATCCCCCCTGTGTGTCCCCAAGGGCCGTAGGGTCGATCCTGTGTCTCAGTGTCCCCAAGGGCCATAGGATTGACCCCCGTGTGTCCCCAGGCAAGGCTCTGGTGGCGGCGGCGGCGCGCGAGCCCTTCGTGTGCGCGCAGTGCCAGACGGATTTCACGTGCCGCTGGCGGGAGGAGAAGAACGGCACCATCATGTGCGAGACCTGCATGACCTCCAACCAGAAGAAGGCCCTGAAGGCCGAGCACACGAACCGCCTCAAGGCCGCCTTCGTCAAGGCCCTGCAGCAGGAGCAGGAGATCGAGCAGCGCATCCTGCAGCAAACGGCCCCCCCGGGGCAGCCCAAGGCAGAGCCCCTCGTGCAGCACCACTCGCTCAAGCAGGTATGGAAACACCCCCGGGGGCTGGGGGGATCCAGGGGGGAATTGTGTCCTGCAGAATCCACCCCGGGATGGTTTTAGAGGGGACTAATCATGGGGATCTCACAGTGGTTTGGGTGGGAAGGGATCATGAGGGGAATGGGAGCCTTGGGGTGGTCCAGGGGGGAATTGGGTAAGGAAAAATCTGTCTCTGGTTGGTTTTAGGGGGGAACTAAGCATGGGATCCCACAGTGGTTTGGGTGGGAAGGGATCAGGAGGGGAATGGGAGCCTTGGGATTGTCCAGGGGGAAATTGGGTAAGGGAAAATCTGTATGAGGTTGGCTTTAGCAGGAATTATAAGATCCTAGACTGGTTTGGGTGGGAAGAGATGCCAAGGCTTGGGGGTGATGGGGAAAAGAGGAGCCTTGGGATTGTTCTAGGGGGGGATTGTGTCCTGCAAAATCCATCTCAGGTTATTTTTAGGGTGGAACTAACCATGGGATCCGTGTCCCCTGTATTCCAGAGTTCCAGCCAGATGTCCCGAGGGGCCGGAGCCTCGCGGGGGGTCCTGCACAGCTTCAGCCCGTCCCCCAAACTCCAGAGCCCCTCGGCCTCGCTGGGCGGCCGGAGCGGGAAGCACGTGGAGCGTTCCGGGAGCAAGGGCAGCGCGGCCTGGAAGAAAACCCCCCTGAGCACGGGTAAGGGCTCCCCCTGAGCACGAGGAAGGGCTCCCCTGGAGCCTCCTCTCCCTTTGCTCCCTGCCCAGCATTCCCAGGGCTTGGAGGAAGGGCTGTTTTCCTTGCGGGATCCCTTTCCCAGTGGGGTTTCCCACCCGGAGAAATGAGGGTGCTGAGCATCAACTCTTAGGATTGTTGCCTTTGGGGTGGTTTGTCCTCATCCAAGGGGATGAAACCAAACAAACCCTCCTGTTTTCCACGTTCGTGGCTCAGCTGAAGGGATTTGAAGTCCAGCCGGTGATCCCGGAGTCCCTGTGCACACCCAGCACTCCAGGGGTTTGTCCTTCATTTCTGGGGGTTTCATTAAATCCTTTCATTTTTGACCCATGTTTTCTCTTTGCTGGAAGTAACACCCAGTAAATAAGTGGGTTCGTGTTGGAATTCCCATTGGAATATCTCAAATTCCCGTAGGAATGTTCCCGATATCCTCAGGATCCGGGATCACTGAAGCTGTTCTTTGAACAAACGGAAATCATAAATTCTAATCCAACCTTTTTTATGAGGTTGGTTTATCACGTTTTAAGAGTCATTTTTTCACCTGAATGATAATTCCAGGATTTCCAAGAAGGAACCACTGGAGCAAACGGCTCCTTTGTGATCCCTCTTGCCCAGCACTGGTGGATTTCCCAGGATTCTCTCATCCCTGACAGTTTAATCGATCAGTTAAGATGTAATTGTGTTCCAGAGGGCTCAGATCCTCATTCCAGAGGGCTCAGATCCTCATTCCAGAGAGCTCAGATCCTCGTTCCAGAGAGCTCAGATCCTCATTCAGATCCTCATTCCAGAGAGTTCAAATCCTCATCTCTGGTCCTGAAATCCCTCTCTGTTTGCTGGGATGATTCTGGGAGCTCCCACCTCCTGCAGGAGTCTGACCCGGGGATGATCCGTGCCTGGGATGATCCGTGCCCGGGGTGCCCCATTCCCACAGGGATCAGGGGTGGGTTTTGCCCCCGTTGTGCCTCGTGTCCGTGTCATTCCATGACTCCTGTTCTCCCTTCTCCTCCCTGATCCCCAGGTGGGGCTTTGCCCTTCGTCAGTCCCAGCTTAGCCGTGCACAAATCGGCCTCGGCCGTGGACCGGCAGCGCGAGTATCTCCTGGATATGATCCCGCCCCGCTCCATCCCACAGTCGGCCACGTGGAAATAATGCCCGGCAAGACTTGTCCTGTTTCTGCCATCCTTTTTATACCACAGTTCCGTGGAATCTGCTTTAATCCCAGCTGGATACGCCCCAGGCTTTCTAGGATGCAAGAAGACCACTCCTCATCCCACCGAGCGCCGCCGTCCCTGCCGAGAGGAGTGACCCCCGCGGGTCCCGGATTCCGACGGAGGCTGGCAGGGAGGGGAAGGATTCCTTCATTTTTTTTTGGCTTTCTGTATTTAGTTTGGATTTTTCCGTCACCAGCACAAAGGACTCAGTGACTTCTCTCTGCCTTTGGGTTCGTTCCCCGGCGACAAACCCAGCGCCGGGCCCGCGGCGCCGGGTCGCGCTCCAGCGTGGAATTCGGGGGCCAGGAGGGAGGAATTCCAGCCCCATCCTGCATTTAGTGAGCCGAGTTCGTGGCTGCTCCTCTTCCCCTGCCCCCTCCTCCAGCCAGGAAGGGAGTCTACACATCCTGATATTCCCAAAATCTCCTTCTGGTGGTGACGAGCTAACGATAAATAAGTGCGGACTCCGATTCCGGTTGAGTACGGTCCTTTTCCCAAGGGATTGGCTGCCACCAAAACTTGTCTGGTCGGTGGGAGCCACGCAGGAGTCTCTCACTTTTGTTGGATCCTGTTTGGAATAGACTTTGGAACCGTTGGTAGTTTAAAAACCTAATTTACTGACTAGACAAAAACCTTTGTTGGGTCTTTCTAATTCAGCGAAGAGCAGTTGGGCCTTTCCTACGTTCCCGGAGACTCCGAAGTGAAACCGTTTGGGATAATTTTTCCTTTTGGAGGGGTTTTGGTTTCTCTTTTTTTTTTTTTTTTGTTTTTTTTTTTTTGTTTTGTTTCTCTTGTTGTTGTTGTTGTTGTTTGGAGGAATATTAACTCGAAAGAATAGGAATTCCAGGAGCTGCATGCAATCAGGGAGAGAGAGCGGGAGGCGCCGGCAGATCCTCCCTCCGGTGATTCCCACCGGGAATTCCGGCCGTTCCCAGCACGTTTTGGGGGGGGGATCCCTTCCGAGTTCTTCCAGGCATCCCAAGCATGCTCCTCTAATCCATCACCATCCCGCTTCGGGTGGAGCTTTAGGGGGAAAGTTTTGGTTGATCCCAAAAAAATCCCATCGGGTCCGGTTTGGTTGGTTTTCGTTCCTCGTCCCTCCTCCTTCGTGCTTCTCCCGGGTTTCCAGTCGAATTGAAGCGGCAGAATTCCATGCCTTACGCCTTGTGTTTGCATATCAGTGCTGGAAGGAAGTGCTGATGATGAGAATTATTTGGGAAAGTCTAAATATATATATATATAATCTATATATCTATATATAAGAGGGGGAAGGGGGTTCCGTCGGAGCCGAGTTTATTTTCGTAGCAGTCGCTGGGAGATCGAAACTTGAAGCCAAGAATTCCTTAGGGTCGTGTCCCCCCCCTCGGATCTGCCCGCGGCGTAGTGACAGAATTCCAGCCTTTCCTTTCCCCCCCCCTCCTCCCTTTTTCCCTGCTGGGTGAAGATCGAGATTTAGGAATTTTTTCCCAACCTCCTTGAAAAAAAACCCTCCTCGTTTTCCAAACTGGGATTTGTTTGTTGCTGGATATAAAGCCCCGGAATTCCAATCTTCCAAAGGGATCCGAAGAACTAAAAGGGGGACGGAGGAGGGGGAATTGGGGTGAAGTTTTGGGAGGTTTCTGTTCATTCCAGGCTGGTTTGGGTTGGGAATGTGGAGGGAGAACTGGGAGTGCATTTGCCTTTTGCACTTGATATTCCGGGAAAGTTTCAGTTCCTTCCCTGTGTGGAATTTTTTTGGTTGGTTTCCGGGGATTTTTTTTTTCCCCCTCTCCTCTGATAAATTCCTGCGTTTTCTCCTCGTCGATGCCGATGTTGGATCGCTGTTAAATCCCCTGGAAAAGTTTGTTTGGTTCAAAAAAAACCAAGGAAAACTCCTCAAATTAAAATCCAAAAACCTTTTTTTTGGGGGGGGGGGAAACCTGGGCAACTTCCCAATTAATTCCCAGTGTTGGGGAACAACTTTGGATGATTCTGGGGAAAAAAAAAAAAAACAGGGAGTGAAAGAGGGGCAGAAGGATGAAAATATAAAATCAAATGTTACAAAAGCGACGTCAAAACCTTTTGGGATCCCACCAGCTCAGTGCTTGGAAACTTTGGGAATTTCAGCCCAACGTGGAGAATTTAAAAGAAGCCTTAAAAGAATCGGGGATATTTTAGTTTTAAGGTTTGGAACGTCCAAGCTTAAAAAAGCTTTAGATCCCGAATTTCTTTGTGTGTAATTGAGAATAAAACCCCCAAAAATTACTATTTTAGGGGTTGGGGGAGATTTTTTTTTTGAAGGGAAGGGAAAAATCCTACATGGAACGAGGCTGAAAGACCCCACAAAATCCAGCAGGGAATGAGGCTGTTGGGATTCCAGCGGGTTCTGACGTGGTTTTCCAGCCGTGCTCCCGGGAATGCCGCGGGGGATCCGGGGGGTTTGTTTCGTTGCATCCCTGTTTCTGCCAAATCGTGGATAAATCTTGGGAAGGATTGAAGTGGATCCATGTGTGAATTCTGGGAGAGAGGCTTTTCCTTTGGGGCCGGAGCCCCGGTGTTGAGTTGGGTGTTGTGGGACTGGGCTCGGTCAGGTTGAAATAGTTGTTCAAACACTTTAATACAGTTTTTCCAAACCTCCTCCTCATCCTCCTGTTCTCCTTTTTGCCGGAAGAAACCCCACAAAAACATGGGAAAAAACAACGGAAGAATCTCAATGAAACGGAATATTCCCATCATGGGTCTGCCTGGAGGGGAAATCCCTGGGAATTGTGGAGGAGGGGGGTTTAGACGCAAACTTAGGAACAAATCTTGGGTTTATTCCTACTGCTATTCCTATTCCTACTTGTTGCCTTTGGGATTTCTGATTCCAAAAGGGCTGTTGGATCACCTTTGGGATTCCTGAGTCCCTGAGGGCTCTTGGATCACCTCTGGGATTCCTGAATTTCTGAGGCCTCTGGGATTCCTGAATTTCTGAGGCCTTTGGGATTCCTGGATCCCTGAGGGCTCTTGGATCACCTTTGAAATTCCTGAATCCCTGAGGCCTTTGGGATTCCTGAATCTCTGAGAGCTTTGGGATTTCTGATTCCAAAGGGGCTCTTGGATCACCTTTGGGATTCCTGAATCCCTGAGGGCTCCTGGATCACCTTTGGTATTCCTGAATCCCTGAGGGCTCTTGGATCACCTCTGGGACTCCTGAATCCCTGAGGGTTCTTGGATCACCTTTGGGATTCCTGAATCCCTGAGGGCTCTTGGATCACCTTTGGGATTCCTGAATCCCTGAGGGCTCTTGGATCACCTCTGGGATTCCCGAATCCCTGAGGGCTCTTGGATCTGTCGGGGAATCACCTCCTGGAGCGGCACAAACCTCCCGTCGGACTCCGCGCTCCGTCGGAAAACCCGGGAGCGCCCCGGAAAACCCTCCGGGTGGAATATCCGGCCCCGTATCCCGTTTTCCCGCCCCTCCACTGCTTCGCTGCATGAGCTGTTCCGGGGGGGGGGTCCGGCTCCCGCCTCTCCTGGGGAGAGGGATCGAGGGATTCCCGCAAAGCCATAAAAAAAAAAAAACCCTCCCTCGGCGACGTCGCGACGACGGGAATTTTCTAAGCCAGTGACTAAAATAATGGGAAACGACTGTTGTACTTTAGATTTTAGCAACTTGTGAAATAAACCCCGGATTTTCATTGGAAACCCGTGTTGGAATTTTGGGAGCCGTGTGGTTTTTCTTGGATTTCATTCTCTTTTTTTTTTTATATATATATATATATACATATATATAAATATAAAGATAATTAATTTATTCTCCAGCCTTTCCAGCTCGTGGACTTCACTCATTTCTGCGTTCCAGGGATTCCTGTACCTGCCATTCCAGCTGTGATGGTGAGGAGAAACTCTTGGATAATCATAAATCCAAGCTCGTTTGGGGTTGGGTTTTTTTGCTTCTACAGGTGTTTTTAGCATCGTTTTGGGATCCATTCATTTCCCTCTGGATTCTCAGACCCAGTTAGAACTTTTTATTTCTGGCTTATTAAGGAAAAATTAAATTCCCGAAGTACAGTCCGGGATGGCAAATGAGGGGTTTGGGCTGCAGGAGGGAGTGGAGCAAATTTAGGGAGAGCTCATCAAAAAAAACCCAATTTGGCTCATTTTTCCCTCTCCTTTTGGAAGGAGGGAGCACAGGGTGGGAGTTTTTCCCTTGGATTTATTGTGACTCCAAATCTCCCATAACAACCCCGACATTTACTACTACTACTACTACTAATAATAAATAATAATAATAAAAGATAATAATTTCCCACTAAACCCTGACAGTCTCAGCAGCAGAAGGATCTGGAATCAATAATTAATCCATAACTGTATTGTGAGGGGGTTTCAGTATTGGAAGGACAATAAACAAATGGAGAAACACTTGGATCTGCCTCTTATTCTGAGGATTTCGGGGTTGGGGGGGTGTGAAGATGATCCCAAGGAAGTCCTGGAGCCCGTTGGGTGGGAAGGCGATCCCAGAGGAGCTCTGGATCCCCCCTGGCTCCAAACCCCACCGCTCCGGGCCCCACTCTCCGCGTCGCCCTTTTAAACCCGCGCGTTGCCCTTTTAAGCCGCGCCCCCTCCTCCCCCACGTGACGCATCACGTGGCTCCCGCGCGGCGAGTCGCGGGGCAGTGACGTCACGGGGCAGCGCCGCGATGGCGGCGCCGAAGGTGAAGCAGGACATGGCCCCGCCGGGCGGGTACGGCCCCATCGACTACAAGCGGCACCTCCCGCGCAGGGGCCTCTCAGGTGGGCGCCGGAGCCCCCCCAGGACTCGGGGGGTATCGCTCGGGGGGGCCCATCCCGGCCCCTGTGGCCCCCCCGGTGCCGCTCTGACCGTGCCCCCCCCACGCCCTCAGGGTACAGCCTGTTCGCCATCGGCGTCGGGAGCCTCTTGCTGGGCTATTACACCCTCATCAAGTGGAACCGCGAGCGCAGGTGACGCCCGGGGGGATCCCGGAGCCTCCCCCCCCCGGGTCTCCCCGTCCAGCCCCGGGGATTCCTTGTTCCACCCGCACACACAGACCGCCCCTCTCGGGGTCACGGATTCTGGCACCGTGTTTTTCCGTTCCCGGGGCTCTGCTGCGGGTCCCTGCTCGGGATGTGCTTTTCCCACGTTCCCGGGAAGTCCCGACCACCCCCCCCATAGTGCTCCCCGAGACCCCTTCCCTCTACCCCCCACCTCCCACCAGCTTTCCCAGCCACCCCCCCAGCAGCCCAGGGACCCCCCCCC